CAGGAATATTATCTTTTTGATCTTCATCCTTTTCTTTAATTCCTGGGTGTTGCTGTGACATGAACTGCATCAGACTGTAGAGGAGCCTTTAGTGAAAGACTTGGACACCCTGTTTGTAAAAAGGAGCGCTATCGCAGGTCATTCCTCCCTGCTGCCATCAGACTTTACAATGCGCCACTATGACTGCAATAACTGCTGCAATAACTAATGTGCAATAACCTGTGCAATTATCCTGTTAAATATGTATTTATGCACATTTTCCTCCTTTTGACACCATCTTTTGACTATTGAGCCGATGTGACAAGTGAATTTCTCCCCTGTGAGATAAATAAAGTCTATCTTATCTTATATAAGTAATTCAAACATCTACTTTTAGGATCTACTTTTTGGCTAAAAGGAAAGCACAATGTTAGAAAGATGAAGGAAACAATCATCAAACACCAAACAAAACAACTTTTCTATCAGTAGCACTTATGCATTTAGAGTCAACAGTGATTAGAAAGCCACTGCTTGCTGATGGGAGTTGGGAAACTTAATTTATGTTGTGTATATGTGGGCAGTTAGCTAACAGCACCAAACAGGCAACAACAAAAAAATAAAAACTGCCTCAAAAACCAAATCCCATTTACAAAAACAACAGAAATGGGAGATTGTGCACCAACATGTAGAGAAAATAAAATATGGAGGAAGACAACTGGAAATTAGAACATAACGTCGGAATTTGTAAAACCTTAATAAAGTTTTTGTATTTTTTTCTTGTCATCAACTTATAGATACAGTTTTTTTTTTGCAAAAATACAAATAAATACCTTCAATTTACAAGCACAAGTCAGCGATTTTCAATTAAAGATCCTAGTCATACGATTTAAAGTCACAAAATTACGAGTGCAACTTTCTAATGTAGAAGTACAATCAGATTTATTAGACAGAATCATAAGTTTACCAGTACAAAGCTTAAACCTTAGTGTACAAATTACACATTTCTGAAAACAAATCACTAATGATTAACTCTGTAAATCACAAATTTACAAGTAAAAATTACAAATTTGGAAGAAGAAATAGCAAATATTCCACCACAAATCACACATTTATTAATACAAATCACAAAATTATAAGAACAAATAGCCAATTTTCAAGTAAAAATCAAAATTTTGTTTACAACAAAGCAAATATTTATTGATATTTATATGATATTTGAAGTAGAAATCACAACAGCAACATACAGAAGATAACTGACTGCAGAGACCATTTTAGAAGAACTTTCTTTATAAATTCTGAGCTACGCTTTTAGACGGAAAGACCAGAACTACCCATAAAATCTAAGTTCCCATTTAGATCTAGCTGCTGCCTTTATTCCTTAAATTTTCTTGTTAGCGAATTCTTAACTCTGCAACATATCCCCTAATCCTACAAATAAAATGGTCGGGCTTTTAGAAATCGTTATCTCAGTCTGACTTTTCATCATTTCTTTCAATTTGATGTTCATGACTTCACATGAATATGTGTGAATTTTATCCACCAGTGAGCCTGTCACTCAGTCGATGGTGCCGGTTTAATCTGCTGCCAGCCGGCCTGTGGTATCCTCTTCAGGTTGCCATGGGAGATAAGCGATGCAGATGTTGCCTTGGCTTGAGAGGCAGAGAAAGAAAAGCCAGAAGTGAAAAGGTTGGATCAAAATAAATAAAAAAAAGAAATGGAGGACAAATTGATTACCAGGATGAGACCCAGAGATAACAGAGAACAGGGCACCAAGGGTAACGCTGCAGATATTCAGGCAGGTTTCAGAGCGACGGAGAAGCATAAACACAGACTGTTTTCTTTATCTACTGCTTATTACAGCTAAAAATGGATCATGGAGTTTACTCTCTAAGATGGACTCTCAAACACCACTTAATAGATTCCCTTATGTAACTTATAGTTTATGACTTTATAGTTGCAGTAATATATAATGTCGCACATGTTAATCAACCAAACACTGCATGACCCACAACCTTGCAAAAATATGAAAACCTGTTGAGCTTGCTTCGTATTTTCTTACACAGCCATACATTTCAGTCCATTTAAGGATTATATGAAATGCACCAACAGAAATTAACATCTAACTACAGTCTGAAAGGAAAACAATGCACGGTGTTTTCCCTCTTTCCTTTCCCTGAACAGGAAGACAAAAACTCTACAGATCAGACAAAATCTATTGTGTTAGATTTCCAGTCTGTTCAAAGCACATTGTTAATTCAGCATGTTTTTAGTTAAACTGAACTATTCAGGAACTATGAACTAGAAATATGTTCTAGTACTAGAACTACTAGAACTTTAAACTTAGGGCTGCAAAGTGGAGAAGTGGGTAGAACTGCTGCCCTGCAGCAAGAAGGTTCAAGTTTCGATTCCAGAGCCCGGGTTCTTTCTGCAGGACCCCGGGAGAGCTCTCCACGCAAAGCATTCTGGGATATATCTGCCTCTTCATAGACACTTTTTCTCTTACGACCCTAAGCCAATTTCAAATAACCGCGGTGAGAAAGGTGAGCTTCAATGATTGTCTGAAACCGTAGCTCACCACAGATATACGCCTGAAAGTCTGCATGCGCAGAAAATGGAAGCTAAAATAATAATAATAATACATTTTATTTGAAAGCGCCTTATCAAAACACCCAAGGACACTGTACAGGCAGATAAAACATTAAAAACAGGAAGCTAAAAAGTACAAGCATAAAGATGCCACAGAAAACAAAACAGCAGGAAGTAAAATAAAGCCAAAGGAATAAAAGGAAGAAAACAATATTGGAGTGATGCATTTGAACTAGATTGGATAAGATTGTCTGAACAGGAAAGTTTTGAGTCTGGATTTAAAAAGAGCGAAGGAGTCCAGAGTACGGAGATCCGGAGGGAGGGAGTTCCAGAGGTGGGGAGCAGAGCGACTAAATGCCCGGATTATTAAAGTATTTCTGATTCGGATTCCTGGTTGATGGGTAAATGTGTTTAAACAAGCCCCCATAAATATGTTACGTCCACCAAGGACACAACATATTTGAGGACACGAGACAAAAGATGAGGGTTCAAAAAAGATATTTTATTTATAAATTTTCTCCTCTTTAGCTTTCTTTGCTCGGCTTCTTCTGATTACTGCGAAGAAAAATAGTTAGAGGCCCTCAGATCCCGTGCCCCAAAGGAATCAAAAAATGAAACCCAAAAGTAACAAAAGAAAGTTGGACCTGGCAGGCCGATCAAACAGAACAAAACGGTAGAGCAGGGGGCCAACCCTATACAGGGCCGTCGAAGCCCCTACTAGTACCGGACTAAAGGCCAAAAAATAACCTAAACAAAAGAAAAATCGAAAATAGGACAACCGGTCCCGCCAGGCCAAAAACCACAAGAAAAAAGTAAGCAACGGCTAACAAAAATACCGCATGGCAGGCTGGAACGTCCGCTGCGGGCCGCAGCGACAGAACAAGTGCGCACCGCGCACGATGGAACAAGTGGAAGCAGGTGGAAAAGCGGCGTCCAGGCGAAGATGGAAAGGAACGCCCCAACATGCTGAAAGCCAGCCTATTTATAGGCGGACAACAGCACCACAAATTAACGTAATTAACTCGCTAAAAGAATTATTCAACTCCCAAAATATATTAACAAAGATCCTTCAACTAAAATCTGTAAGAAAACAAAGAAAAGAAATAGACAAAAATCATAATGTGCCCGAAGCACATAACAATGGGACAGGTGTTGTGAATGAAACGGTGCCCAGCTTGAAAGAGCTCCTGTGTGTCGCTGAATGTGTGCATTGATGACTGAAAGACATCTTCTGCCTCCATTTATCTGTTTACTACAGTCTGTTGAAAGCATGCTAATGTGGATTTAAAGACATTTCAATTAGTGGAAATTAATTGCAGAGGGGAATATAAAAAAAAGTCTAATTAACCAAAACTTTGGCGACCCCCATGCAGTACCTCTGTGGAGCCCCTAGGGGTCGCGGACCCCCTGTTGAAGACCTCTGCTCTATATCTTTAACTCAATGGGTCTGATTTAAAACAATTATTAAAAAAAAGAAAGAAAAACTTTTTTTTTTTTTGAGTATTTGAGGAAAAAAATAAATAGGTAAACATCTTGGGTTCTTTTTTTCCCCACCTGGGAATTATGCACTAATGTTGCCAGTAAAAGCATAAAAAAAAATTGTGGTTTAAGGTTTAAAAATATACACTATATGATCTCAAACTGTGAAGAAGGAGGAAGACAAAAATAGTTGTTTTGTTTGTCTTGTTGTTTCCAAGTCTAACAACAGCCCTGTAGAAAGCTCACTGGTTAATATTAACAGCTTGATAAGAGCTCTGTTTGCAGCTCTGGGGCTGATTTATAAAAACAAGCAGCCTTTGACGGCTGAAATGTAAACATTTGGAATGTTAGCCATGGAAATATGTCCAAGCTTTAGCTGTTATGTGGCTGAAATTCTATTAAATTAAAGAAGTGCAACATTAGGAACTATGTTTCCTTTAACTCCTCCTAGAGTTCCTGGTAAAGAACCAGGAAGAATGGCCTGGTATTAAACAGGAAGCGTGTAATGCAAGCACGCATGTGAACGCCTGCCCAGAAACACTGAGTGCAGCAGAATGTGAGCACCTAAAGGTGTAGACCATTATCACCTTCACAGCTTTCCCCCCCACGGCCCTGCAGAGACATGCAGAAACACTCAGGGTTTGTGTTTGTGTTTTTGTGGGCGTGTCGCCTTCAGAGGAAGCGGCTCCTTATCAGAATGTGTTCAGGGGTGTGAGAGTCTGCTGCCCTCCTGATACTGTAAAGTTGAAGAGTTTAGTTTAAGCCTGCACAAGAGGTAGACCTTTAAATTCAGGCTGTGGGGGGTTTTGCATTTCTTCTTTGAACACCTGTAAGGTGTAAATTGGATGCTGTCATTACAAACCTTAAATATGTGTCGGCTGTTGCTCTTCTGATTAGAGTTTACCAGCTTTTCTGGTCCTCAGAAAGTTTGCTAATCTACTTTCTTTCTGTTTCAG